TTGAAAGCAGACGTGATTAATAGTTGTTTTATTTTAAGGAAGTCCTGTAAAAGCACAAATGAGCACAAGGGGGTGACCTTTCTGCAGATGGGATCTGCATGGCATGCTGCACCCTAAACAGAGGCCCAGTCCCAGCACCCCATGGGATGTAAGGTTATCCTATTTATAGTGTTAGTTCTAACCCCTTGCATTTTAAACCGTACTTTACAGAGTCTGAGTGCCTTTCTTACTAGCAGTGTAATGAACCAGCACCTCCTGGTCCAAAACAGGTGGTGAATGTTTTGGTAAACTTATTAACCGTAGCAAGCAATTTATTTTTGATCTTCAGGTGAGTAAGAAGCTAATTAGCAGTAGTCTTTAAAGACTGAAAACCAGCTTTAGCTCCTGTATGAATCCTGGTTTCTTGTGACTTCCCTTTAGTAACTTCTGTGGGTTTACTTTTTACTTTCCTAAAAATGACAGAAAAGCAGAGTCTCAGGATTGCAGTAGCTTGGTTCCATTGTAGCACGACAGCCCCTCCACAGCGACAGTGACAGCGACTGCATACCCCAAGCACAGCAGGATTCAGTGGGTCTCATGCTGTCACTCTGTTTGTGCCCAGCTATCAGAAGTTGGTTATAGCTTGCTCAGGTTTCCCAGTGTTAAGAAAAGAGTAGTTAAGGAAAACTCCCCAGACCATCCCAAAATGATAAAGCCAGATTCTTACAATATTTTATTAAAAAGTTAAGATCTTGGCTCTGATAAAAATTAGTATGACAGTTTGCCTGTACACTTGCATTTGTGAAGCTAACATGATTCAGACAAAATTTGAAAACAAAGGGGATAAACTTAGAAGTAGCTTTGGAGTGGTTCTCCCAAAATGACTTCTATTTGCTGAATTGTCTTCTGGCACTGCTGTTCAACTTCTTCACATTCATCTAGAAGAAGAAATAAAGCAGGAATTAAGTAGAACAGTGATTACAAAGCCACTCCAGGAAGGCTTCATCACTCCTCAAGGCTAGAGCTGCCTTCCAACACCAGGTATGACATAATTACTCAAAAATATTTTGGCACCGACTCAGGACTTAAGCCAATTATTTCTGCTGCAACACTGATCTAAACCATGCAACTGGGGAGATGTGCACAGGCTATTAACACTGAAGAAACTACTGTAATTCAACTGAACTTTATGAGTGTAGTGGACACAATCAATTTCAGTTTGCATCCTGCAGTTAAGCTACTGTATGCCATTTCATAAGATTTACAGCAATTACAGCAATCATCCTGTCTGAATCTTTGAAATAAGTGGCCCTGATTATTTTTGTTCGTAGGCCAGTTGTTTGCCTTCACTAATGCCACTTGAGAACATTACCTTCCATGAGCTCAGCTAAGAATGGAATAGATTCTGGTAGCAGGACCAGGTAGTTCTCCTTCAGTTTTTGTGCAACTTCTACCAAAGCAAGTAAAGCAGCAAATCGGACCTAAACCAAAACAATAATCTTTGTAAGGAAACAAACATTACAATATAGATCCTTGTTTTCTCCCCCCACCTTCTTTCCATACAAGTTTGTAAACTAGCCTTCCCTACTGAAGGGAACTAGTTTTAAGCTAATTTAAATCTTACCATCTGGGTTAAGATCATGTCAAAGGAAAAACAGGCTGCAAGAAGCAGGTATGTTGCTGGAAGTTATTTCATATACTAACAGTCTTCAACTTCCCGTTACAATGCCACTCTGTTCCACTGTATTGGAATGACTTAGTACAATGAACACCCAAGTAGTCCCTCTGAATACATAGAACCTGTCAAGTAGGAGTCTTGACAAAACTCTATATAATAAACAGGTCTGAAGGTCAATAAGTAACTGTCTTCCAGTTCCCCCTCTGAAGTGCCCCCTTCGTCATACACAAACAAGTTAGCTCTTACTCCAACACCTACCAGATCTTTAAAAAAACGCAAACCACACAGTAGGGAAGACATCCACACATGGAATATTGACTGCTTACAGTAAGACTAGAGGGCTATGTTGTATACATCTCTCTAGAACCTGGAGTAGCACAGTACGATATCAGTATTTTAGCAGTGACTTGGCTAATCCACTTTGAGTTTTGGGGCACTGTTCCCATTTTCTCATGCAACAAAGCAAACCAGTTCAAATTCAGATTAGCTCCCAACCTTAGGAGAGGCGTGTCTCGTTTTCAGCCGGATGTAGTAGGTCAGTGGGTT